AAATGTCCCCCGCCGAGTTACGATCCACTAGGTAAGGTAACCGATTTGATTGGGAGTAGAGAGAGAGAGAGATAAGATGCAAGGAAAGGCAGGGAGGTTACCAGACACACATCCTGTTTGCTACCCTGCACTGGGGAAGGGATAATGAAAAAGAGGTTGCATAGAGATAGAGGGTACCACAACCCGAGCATACTCGGGAGCACACAGTCTACAGGCGTCGCTCAGGCTTGTTGACTTTAGGTAAAGTAGCAGAGCGCTCAAAAGGAGCATGCCGCCAATTCTCGCGACGAACCGCCAGAGTGACGCCGCGAGGTCAACGAAAAAGAAAGAAAAAGAAAACAAAACATCTAAAGGCTCCCCGGTCGCGCGAGCCTCTCCTCTCAGAAGCGTGGCTTCGCCGACGAACCTCCTCACCCCAAACGGCGGCCGAGCAAGCACTGGAAATTTCTAGAAGGAAAGGGGCGTGTTATGCGGGTTGAGTCATCTTCGGGGACGGCCCTCGTACAGTCTCGCGCCTCTCCTCAGCCTTCGCTGCGTATCGCGCCGACGAAATGACGAGAACCTTCTGGAATCTCGCGCGGAAGGTATTTAATCGAGCGGCCGAGACGAGAGATCAGGAGAAGACGGAAGTTAGCGCCAGAGCGCGTAGGGATTCCGCCGTGTGGTCGGCGAAGGTTTTGTCCGTGGAGACAAAGCAGGAGAAGCAGATGATTTCCACCTGAGGGGTGACAACTCGAGCTACTGGCAAGAGTGTGTGTTTACCGCTATCGAGCGAAGACGCGTGGCAACAGCTGCGTGTGTGAAGCTGACGTGTTCGGGCGAAGAAGTTTGAAGCTTGGAGAGTGGCCTATTGAAGACGTGAGGTTTCCTGGAAGAGAAACTTTGGCGAGGTTTCCTGGAAGAGAAACTTCGGGGGCTGCGGAACGACAACAACGCTGGACTTTGAGTGAGTGATTCTCGGAAGAGTATCATCTAGACTTTGGTTCCAAGAACTTTGGACTGAATAGGTTTTCTATCTCTTTAGTCTCTAGGTGTCTTGGTTGTTCAATGCATGCGACTGCATTGTAGTGCGTATTGTTGTCTGTGTCCGTTGTTTCGAGTGTGGCTGATTGTACTGTGTAGTACGTTGTTTGATTGGTGACATATTGTATGCAACTATTGTGGAGTGTGCATACTTGTGTGTTGGTTTGATCTGCCTTTATTGAGAATATAATTCTGTTTTGTTTATCAACTCTCGGCTCTGACTTGTTCTTTGGGCCACAGCCGGCGTCCGCTGGCGCGCCAAAAAGGACCACTTCTAAATTGTCCACGCTTTCGTGGTGCGGTTCGGGGGGCCGATACTTCGGCCCTTGGAATTAGCTTGGCGATCGCCTCTTGAATTAACGGGACTTGTGAGACAAATAATCTGGCATCCGCGACAAAGGACCTTTTGGTGCACAGTGTGTCCAAAGTAGTGAGAAAGAGCCTCGAGTTGCTGATAGTGCTATCGGAACGATTTTGTGTGTTGTTCAGTGTTCTCGTTAACGAGTGCAGGGGAGTGTTCCGATAGGCTGATTTAGGCAGTTACTTTTTGCACACGGCCAGACTTTAATTGCGAGACACGATGGATCTCGAAAAGTTAGTAGCTCTTGGTGAGAAGATGGGTCTGTCTGGTGTCGAACTACGGAAGTGGGTAACCCAGAAGGAAAAAGAAGAAAAGGAGAGGGCCAAGGAAGAAAAAGCAGCTGAGTTGGAGAGAGAGGTTGGCAGCTGCGAGAGAGAAAAAAGAAAGAGAGGCAAAGGAGCGACAGCTGAAAGAAGAAAGAGAGCAGCAATTGAAGTTGGAGCTGGAGAGAGAAAAGACGGCAGCCGAAAAGGCGAGAGAAGAAAGAGAGGCAAAGGAGCGACAGCTGAAAGAAGAAAGAGAGCAGCAATTGAAGTTGGAGATGGAGAGAGAAAGACTGGCAGCTGAGAGGGCGAAAGAAGAAAGAGAAGCGGAGATGGCTGAAAGAGAACGGCAGCGGCAGCACGAGATGGAACTCGAGCGGCTCCGTTTGCAACAGCGAAGTGAAACTCCCGTCCAAGCTAGAGTTGAAAGCAGCGAACGGGAAGATCATGGCTTCCGCTTGAACCCGAGCAAGCTGCTCGTAGCGTTTGATGAAAGGAAGGACGACCTTGACGCGTACCTTCACCGATTTGAGACGATTGCAAGGAGCCAGAATTGGCCGGAACATCAATGGGCAACTGCTTTGAGTACTGCTTGAGTGGTGAAGCGCTCAGTGTGTATGGTAGGCTGACGCCGACCGATGCAGGCAACTATGCAAAGGTGAAAGCTGCTTTGCTGAAGCGATTTAGATTTACCGTGGAAGGATTCCGGGACAGATTTCGGACAGGAAAGCCAGCTTGATGAGCTGGACGACTATA